TCTCTGGTTCTCTGGGTGCTCTGGGTGTCCTCTAAGGCCCTGTCCCTTTCAACATGGTTATCAGTGAATTTGACTAGACTCCTTAATGGCAAGAGCAAGTCTTATTTGATTTTGTATTTGCAACATTTGGCACTCTGTGTGTTCTAAAATTAGTGTTTCTTTCTCTTTATTTTTTCTGAGTTGGGCTTCACTCTGTCGCCCAGGCTAGAGTGCAGCAACATGATCATGGCTTACTGCAGCCTTGACCTCCTGTGCTCAAGTAGATCCTCCCACCTCAGCCTCCCAAGTAGCTGGGACTAAAGACCACCACCATGTCCAGTTACATTTTTACTTTTTGTAGAGACAAGGTCTCATGTTGTTGCCAAGGCTGGTCTTGAACTCCTGGGCTCAAGCAATTCTCCCACCTTTGCTTCCCAAAATGCTGGGATTGCAGGCATGAGCCACCACGCCCAGGCCAATTAGTCTTTTCTAAAAGAAAGAGTGGATGGATCAGTTTATGATAAACTCAGAAATTGGCAGTAAAACTAATTTGATGAATGACAAGATCAAGATTGAGTTGATGTCCCTAGGCTCAAAATCAGGCCCCAAACAAGCAAGATAAAATTTAATCAAGCTGGGCTTGGTGGCTCAGCCTGTAATTCCGTGCCTTTGGGAGGCTGAGGTGAGCAGATTGCCTGATCCTGCAGATTCGAGACCCGCCTGGGCAGGCGAGACCTCATCTCTACAATAAATAAAAAAAAATTAGCCGGGCGTGGTAGTGTGCGCCTGTAGTTCCAGCTATGGAAGGCTGAGGTGGAAGGATCACCAGAGCCCAGCAGGCGAGGCTGCGGTGGCCGGGAGCGGCCACTGCACTCCAGTCTGGGTGACCGAGTGAGACTCCAACTCAAAAAAAAAAAAAAAAAAATTTAATCAAGTTAACTGTTAAATCCTGCTTTTTTTTCCATCTGTTTTATGGGTACTGTATGGGTAGGCCTGATTTGAAAGTAATTCAAGGTTTAAAAAAAAAGTATAGGGCTGGGCATTGTGACTCATGCTGGTAATCCCAGCACTTTAGGAGGCTGAGGCAGGAGGACCACTCAAGGCCAGGAGTTCAAGACCGCTTGGTCAACAAAGTGAGACTTCATCTCTACAAAACAGAAAAATTAGCTGGACACGGTGGTATATGACTGTAGTCTTGCTACTTGGGAGGCTGAGTCAGGATGATTGATCACTTGACCCCAGGAGTTTGAGGCCGGGTGAGTTGTGATCATGCCACTGAACTTCAGTCTGGGCGACAGAATGAAACCCTGTCTTAAAGAAGAAAATAAAAGTATAGGGTTTTAAAATTGATGAACCTGCAATCATATTGCCACTTAAAAAGTATCAGAAGGGAAAAAAAACTATCCAAGCATGATGATACCTCAGTCCTAGGAGGTAATAATAACTTGTATTTTACTTGTCAAATCACATCTTATAACAGGTACTCAAGTTTTGAAAAGCTAACATATGCTTCTTCAGAGAAAATCTGGCATAAAAGAAACAGCGGAAGAAGCATGGTATCATGGATAAGATTCAGGGGAAAATGTTACTTAGTTCATGGGTCACGGTTCACCGCAGCCTCGACCTCCTGGGATCAGGCGATCCTTTAGCCTCAGCTTCCCTAGTAGCTGGGACTACATTTGTGCGCCACCTGCCTGGCTCGTTTTTTGATTTTCTTGTTGAGACTAGGTCTTGCTATGTTGCCTAGGCTGGTCTCAAAACTCCTGGGCTCAAGCAATCCTCCTACCTTGGCCTCCCAAAGCCTGGGATTACAGGCATTAGCTACTGTGCCTGGCCAAAATTTAGCATCTTTTGATGATTCTTATCTGATTAAGTCTTTATCATGTTGGTCTTTTCCACCTTTCTCTCTTTTTTATCTTCAATTCTGGAAAATTCTTAACTTTAAAAAATTTTCTCTTTTAATTTGCTTTTCCTTTATTTTGTCATTATTTTTTAGATTCCTATTATAAAAACATTTCATAAAGAATATGATTTGCCAACAAATATAAAAATTAACTTTAGTAGTTATCAAAGAAATACAAATTAAAATAATTATATCTTTTTTTGCGATTCTGATAAAGAATTACAGTATCCAACTATTGGAAGAATGTAGTGAAATAAAGGCTGCAGGACTGTCAAAGAGAATGTAAATTGTTACAACATTTTCAGAAGTCTTAAAATTTACAAATGTCTGTCAACCCAGAAGCTTAATTTTTTTTTTACTTATAAACCTCAAATTTTACTTTCTGTATGATGTGTAAAATTTTTCTAGTGCCCCTCTATATCCCCTCCCTCTTGCCAATTTTTACCCACTAATCCCCAGTTGATGTACTTTTTGTCCTTATAAATTAGTTCGTGTTTTCAAGGGTTTTATATTAATGGAATCATACAGTATATATCTTTTTATTCCTGTCTTCTTTCATTCAGCAAAATTATTTTGAGATTCAAACATGTTGCATGTATCAATTGTTTATTATTTTTTATTGCTGAGTGGTAAATACCCTTGTATTCTAGATATAGACCACATTTTATCAATCCACTAACCTGTTGACGGACACTTGTGTTGTTTCCAGTATTCACCTATAACAAACAGAGCTGCTGTGAACATTCGTGCATTCTTTGTGTGAAGACAGGCTTTTATTTCTCCTGTGTAAAGCCCTAAATATTGAATGACTATGTTGTATAGTAAATGTATGTTTTACTTCCCAACTGTTTTCCAAAATGATCTATACCAGTTTACATTTCCACCAAAATTGTATGAGAGTTCCAATTGCCACTTATCCTTGCCAACATTTTATTTTTCTTGTTTTGGACATTCGAATATATAAGTAAGTAGTGTTGTTTCATTGTGGCGTCCATTTGCATTTCTTTTATGGCTATGACACATATGTCTGTTTATCTCTGGATGTCTTTTTGGTGAGTTATTTGTTCACATAGTTTCTCCATTTTTTATTGAGCTGTTTGGTTTCTTACTGCTGATTTTTGTGGGCTACATATATACGTGTCTATGTAATGCATACTCGACCCTTGAGCAGCCTGGGTCAGAACTGTGTGGCTCCACTTGTACAATGGCTCTTTTTAAGCAGATCCAGCCAGCTCCTCAAATCCACAGTTTCTACATCTGTAGCCAAATGCAGACTGAGAGTGCAGAATTTTGGAGCACAAAACCTGCAGAGGGCTGGTTTTTTGCACATAGGGCTTTCACAGGACCAGCTGCAGGACTTGGGTGTGCCTGGATTTTGGTACCCGTGAGACACCTGGAACCATTCCCCCATGGATATGGAGGGACGGCTGCCTGTATTTCTCGATATAAGTCTGTTAGCAGATAGGTAATTTCTCCCAGTCTGTGGCTTATCTATTTATGCACTTAACAGTTTCTTTCAAAGAGCAGGAGTTCCTAATTTTGATAAAGTCTGAGAAACATTGCTTCTTAATATTTACCCTGAGGAAATGATAAAAGATTTGCTTAAAATTATATATCTACTAGGATGTTCACTGTAGGAAAAATTGAAAGCACATTGACGTTTTATAGTAGAATTTGGTTAAATTATGATAATCTACAAAATACAATACTCCCATTTTTAAAAATTGTGATATTAGAGTATATTGACTGAGACAGTTATGATATTATTTAGTGAGGCAAATATATAAAAGCTTTAAATTATATGCATCAAAATGTTGGCAGTGATTATCACAGGGTGATGGGGTTGTAGCTTTTTAAAATGTTCCTTCATGATTTTATAATGCTTAAATACAAGTGTAATAAATGTTTACATATATAAAAGTCTTTTTTTAAAATCAGAAGTTAGGAATGGTATCTTGATAACTTATTTTATTTAATTTTTTTTTGAGTTGGAGTCTCACTCTGTTGCCCAGCCTGGATGGAGTGCAGTGACATGCTCATGGCCACAGCAGCCTCGACCTGCTGAGCTCAGGCAATCCTTCTGCCTGAGCCTTCCAAGTAGCTGGAACTACAGGTGTGCACCACCACAGCCAGCTAATTTTTTTATTTATTGTGGAGATGAGGTCTCGCCAAGTTGCCTAGGCTGGTCTTGAACCCATGAGCTCAGGCAAACCTCTTACCTTGGCCTCCCTAAATGCTGGGATTATAGGCATGAGCCACTGTACCCAGCCAACTTAAGTCATTTTAAAAGAAAATATGTTAACTTAAATTCTTTCATAAACTTCAAGGAAATTGTTTGAACACCATGGAAAAACTATTGTTTTTATTTAGAGGTGCTTTATTGTGTACTCTCTTTATTTTATTTTATTATTTTTTAAAATTAATTAATTAATTAATTTTTTTTTGAGTTGGAGTCTCACTCTGTCGCCCAGACTGGAGTGCAGTGGCCGCTCCCGGCCACCGCAGCCTCGACCCACTGGGCTCCGGCGATCCTTCCGCCTCAGCCTTCCGAGTAGCCGGAATTACAGGCATGCGCTACCACGCCCGGCTGATTTTTTGACTTATGGTAGAGATGAGGTCTCACTGTCCAGGCGGGTCTCGAACCCGTGGGCTCAGGCAATCCACTCGCCTCAGCCTCCCAAAGGCGTGGGATTACAGGCTGAGCCACCGAGCCCGGCTTCTCTTTACTTTAAATAGTGCTGTGTAATTTTAGCCGTCTTGGTATCTAATTATTTGCCCAAGCAATCATTTCTGAAAGCCTGTTTTTTGCCGTGCTTCTTGGCTGCCTTTTTCTTCCAACTTAAATGAGCATCCATGTGTACTTTAAACAAATGCCTGAGAATTTAGTTAACAAATCATTGTGAAAGACAAGGAAAGAAATATAGGCTAGGTATCTTGTTAGATTGTTGGTAAATCTATTTCCCAATTCATTTTATGTTCATGAATGCTAAACCCCCTCTGATTTGTATGTCTTTATGCAGGACCGCTGAAAACATCATTTTGACCCCGTCACGTTTTAAGTTTCGTTGCCGGATTATTTTTTTTAAAGGCCTGTTTTCCACGTGTCTTTCATACCTAGGAACTATCGAAAAACCTTGAGCTGAGCACGAACAGTTTCCAACGACAGCTGCTTGCTGAAAGAAGAAAGGCGTATGAGGCTCACGATGAAAATAAAGTGCTTCAGGAGGAGCTGCAGCAACTGCATCACAAATTAAAGGCAAGTACTTTGTGTTCAGTCGCGTTGTTTTTCCAGTCATAGGTATCTGTTGAAAACCAAATATTTTAAGACGGTTACTGTTCACATTTGCGAGTTGGGATGACATAATTTCCAATATTATGATATTATCTTTAGCACTTAGAAAAGGTTTGTTGAGGTCATCACTATACAAAGTGAAACACTGAATGCAACTGATAGGAATGGTGTAGCTGGAGTAAATTGTAAATTCCTGGAAGAAAATTATGGGAACCGGAGCTTTTCTTGCTGCGTAGTTGAATAAGACAATGTTTTTCCTGAGATCGCCTCCTGGTTGATTATTTTTAAAGTTGTCTCAAACGTGATGCCCTTGATTTTCACAGTGTTTAGTGGAAGGATTCAAATTACATAATTTGGTTAAAGCAGATGTCCTTAATTTTACCTAGAGTCATTAATGGGTTGGAATTTTGTACAAAGTTGTACAAAATCATACATTATCCTGCAACGTTTTCTTTTTGTTAATCAAATTCTCAGAAAAAGCCACAGCTCCCAAATAGTCAAGTACATGTGTGTTTAAAAGAGTGGTCTAATTTTTAACTTATCAGTAATTCCGAACTCAAATTTGAAAAATGCTAAATTCTTTGTCTTTGTGGCTAAGCTTGGATGACAGTTGAGACCATACTAGCTCTTTCAGGTAAGAAAGTGAAGTTTGTCTCTTTTTTTGACTGCCAGGGTATGTTGGACTTCGCTCCACCCTAACCTAAATGTTCTAGAGACATTCCTTTCCGTAGTTTGGTTTTACAAAAGGAAGCTAAACCCGGTATACTTCAATATGGAAAAAAAATACCAGTTGACAAAGTGAGAATTTTTATTTTGTTTTAAACTGAGTCTCTGTTTCCTTAATTGTACTGAGTTTGTTTTCAGGAAAAGGAGAGAGAACTGGATATAAAAAATATATATTCTAATCGTCTGCCAAAATCCTCTACAAAGAGAGAAAAAGAACTTGCATCAAGAAAAAATGGTATAGTAGCTCTTGTTGTTAAAAAACTGACATTATAACTATTGTTTGTTAATAATACAGTCGTTAATTCTGAAGTGGTAGGAAGGGAAGGAAAAGAACCTCACTGAAATATGTTTATACTAAATGTGTTTTTTGCAATTTAAATTTTAAGAAATCATTTGAACTTTCTTAGTTTTTTCCTCTGAAAAGAGGTCATTAAATTATGTTATACATACTTTAAAAAATTTTCCTTATTTTAATTTTTTAAATGTTTATGAAAATATATAAACATACCCCAAGGTAGAGAGAGTAGTATAATAAACCTTCATTTGTGCATCAACTAGCTTAATTATACTTTTTATTAATTTTATTTCCTCCATTCTCACTTTTTTCAAGTCTTTTATAGGAAATCTCAGATGACATGTGATTTTAGTCATAAATACTTTGTATTGTTATGCATAGTTTTCCTTTTTCTTAAAACAAAAGTATAATTGTCCCTTCTGTGAGTTGCAGATTTTATTTTTATTTTTTTTTGAGTTGGAGTCTCACTCTGTCACCCAGACTGGAGTGCAGTGGCCGCTCCCGGCCACCGCAGCCTCAATTTGCTGGGCTCCGGCGATCCTGCCGCCTCAGCCTTCCAAGTAGCCGGAATCACAGGCATGCACTACCACGCCTGGCTGCTTTTTTGATTTATCGTAGAGATGAGGTCTCACTGCCCAGGCGGGTCTCGAACCCGCAGGCTCAGGCAGTCCACTCACCTCAGCCTCCCAGAGGCGCGGGATTACAGGCTGAGCCATCGAGCCCGGCTGAGTTGCAGATTTTAAAACATAAACTTTGGAAAGCTTTATAGTACTTATAGTCAGAGTTGTCCACAAATCACATAAATGCCAGCAAATCTTAGAATAACAGAAATAGTAATAGTGAGTGTTCATTGAGCTGAGCAAACCATACATTATCTCATTACTTTTTTCTTTTTTTGATTTGGGGCCTTACTCTGTTTCTCAAGCTGGAGGGCAGTGGCATGGTTACAGCCTCGGCCTCCTGGGCTCAGGTGATCCTTCCCAAGTAGCTGGGACTACAGGCGCCTGCTACCATGCCGGCTAATATTTGGATTTTTTTGTGGCTGTGATGCCGAGGCTGATCTTGAACTCCTGGGCGCAAGTGTTCTTCCCACCTTGGCCTCCCCGGTACTGGGATTATAGGCATGAGCCACTGTATTTGGCCGCCTTATCTCATTTCGATGGTGAATAGATGCCAGTTGGATTCCATATATCTTTTTGTTGTTCGTTGTGATTAGCTTGTGACTAGAAAAATTCTTTTGTAATTTTCATGGTAGCTGCATGCCAGAGTGATGTTACAAACCTGTGTACTAAGGGAGTACAAACCATGGAAGACTTTGAACCAGGTGGCTTTTCTGTAATACCACAAGCAGTTGTGTGCTATGGAAACAAATGGGAAGAACCAGAACATCTTGCATTGGTGAGTTTAGCAATATGATCATGTCCCAGACTCTAGGTTCGAAGTTATTCCTAAAAATCAAATCCATAGCAAACATTTAAAAATGTCCACAGTGAAGCTTGTGCTGTATCTGTTAATGAATATGGACTAGCCTTTTAAAGGGAAAGAGAGAACACCTGTGTATTTTATAGACTTCCTCTGGATTGACTCTTTTAGTTCACATTGCGTCTTTCAGGCGCTTCAGAAAGTTTACCTTCTGGGTTGCGGGTAGAAGAGAATTTGCTGTTTCTTCCTTTCATCCCCCCAGATAGTCTTGGAGAACCCTCAGCGCTCTATGTTTGATAGCAAAAGATTAGTTGCAGTTTAACTAGATTCAATATTTTTGGCCTTCTATGTAGGAGAATCCTACATGTTAACTGAATGTCAAACAAAGTAATTGCACAATCTGACTTTATTTCATTCAATTTAGAGTGGAATTCGGGGGGGTCTTTGTTGGATCTTCATTTAAAAGGACTTTTATACTGAACCACTGCAAGGTCTCCTTCTCTAAGAGAGTTTTTGTCTGTAGTATTTATGGTTAAAACTCCAAAGAAAACAATGATCTGGCATATCTGAATGTTATATTTTTGTACCTTGTAAGTTTCCCAGTGGTCCTGAGATCTTTTCTTGTGGTGTAAAACAGAAGGAATGGACTAATTTGACTCCTCTGTGTACTCTAATTTTTTATTTGTTTGTTTTTATTTCATTATTTAGACAAGTTAGTTATATCTGCTAAGGGTGTTTCTGTATTTGTACTACCATTGAGACTAGATCAGGTTGATCTGTCTCTTTGAAATGATGAAGTGTGGAGTAACAAAGAGTAATTCTGAACTTTAAAGGATTAAAAATTGGTTTTTATATTATAGGATTCAACAAGAGAAGCAGTAACCTGTTATGTGAAAAGAGTGTGAGAGTATAGTCTTGGAGTTAGCTCTGCCTTTACATTAAATTCTGATTCTAACATTTCAGTTATGTGACTTCTTGGAGCCTCAAGTTTCTTCATCTATAAAATGGGGGTGGGTTACTTTTCAGGGTTGTGATCATGACTAATCATGAAGTTTATAGAGCTCTTTAGCCTGAACCTGCCACTGTATATGCTCAGAGTATGGGATAAATTAGTCCTGGAAAGAGACTCAGTATAGTGGCTCTAGAAAGATACAAGTTTCTTTCTCTTTAATAGACTGAAGTTAGTGGGTAGTCCAAGATTGATAGACAGCTTTACTCCATGGTAGTCGTCCTTTGTCTTACTGATCTTCCATTTCAGAGTAGTCCTTTTCTGTATGGTTGGAACTGGCTTACCACCCTGTAGGAAGGTGCAACAAGGAAGTGGAGGGCCAACAGCTTGTGTTTTTATGCATGTGGTTAGAAGTTGCACACCTACTTCCACTCACCTCTCTTGGCTCCTGTCTAGCTGCAAGGGAAGCTAACAGATACAGTCCAGCTGCTAAACCAGGGGATCCTGTACTAAAAGAAGGTGAAAATGGATTCTAGGGGAGAGCTGTTTACTGGGCAAGTCCTTACTAATAGTAGATATTTTACTTTTATTAGGAAAAATCATACACATATTTGAAAGGTACCCTAAGAAATAAAGAATCTTAAGTTTATAACATTTTATTTGATTTGAATTTTATAAAGTTTATTAATTGGAGACTTTGAGCATAGTATAAACTTGAAAGATTGAGTGCAGTTGTCACTGTCCTTGCTGTAGTTCAAGAACATCTCAATTGATCAGTAGCCATTTCTGGTTAACTGAATTGATGAAATGTGAAGACGTCCAACAAGGTGACTTCTGAAACTTGTCTTTTCAGAATTTTATGTAGGATATTGTCTTTACTTCAATTATATTGGTTCTCATACATCTTATAAATTCTTCTTTAAAATTCTAACTGAAGTAAGAGGTAATCTTATGTGGTTTTGAAGCGTCTTTCAAAGGGTGGTAACTTGTGACTTGCTGATTTGTTAATGGAAAATTTGCTTTGATTTTTAACTTGGCATTTTTCTATATGTGAACCTGCATTTTAAAAAATGTACAATAGGACCAGGAATCCCAAGAACGAGATGAGCATGGAGAAGCAGGTACGCTAAACCCAGTTGTGGAAAGAGAAGAAAAATGTGTCAGCGAAGAAGGACTCCGTGTTGTGAAACAGGAGGTCGAGCAGCTGGAGGATGGTAAGAAAAAGGGCTTATTGAAGGAAACCGTGAGACCGCATCCTTGGTGAAAGGAAGAGAGGCTCTAGCATCTTCCTCTGATATCATCCTCTCATCTTCTCCAGCAGAGCAAGAATTAGTTGTGTAGAACCAGAAAAGGGATGGCGTATCAGGAGCCACAAGGCTTTGAGTAGTTATTAAAAAGGAAAGAAAAAATGGAACACTGAGCCTCACTCTTTGGGGCTGGGAAATGACAGCAGGCTGCCTTCAGAACACTCAGATACCACCGACTAGAATTGCTGCATTTGCAGCATTCTTACATATTTAAGTATTTTTAATTTTTTCACTTGGAAATAGTTTCAAAGTTAAAGTGGCAAGAATAGCAAAAGAACTATTTGAGTCGTATATTCCATGCTCGTGCAGTGAGACTTACATGCCTCTGTGTATATTTTCTCAAAACTAGAACATTCTCTTACATCATTCCAATATAGTTTCCAACTTCAGGAAATTTGGCCGGGCATGGTGGCTCAAACCTGTAATCCCAGCACTTTGATAGGCTGAGACATGAGGATTGCTGAGCCCAGGATTTTGAGACCAGCCTGGACGCATCACGAGACGCTGTTTCTACAGAAAATTAAAAATTTAGCCAGGCATGGTGGCGTGCGTCTGTCGTCCCAGCTACTTGGGAGGCTGAGGCAGAAGGATTGCCTGAGCCTGGGAGGTTGAGGGTGCCGTGAGCCGTGAGGATGCTGCCGCCCTCCAGCCTGGATCAGAGTGAGACCCCAACTCAAAACAAACGCACGATCGAACAAGCAGAAAAACCACTTCAAGAAATTTAACTTCGATAGCAACACATTTATCTTATCTGCTGTCCTTATGAGGATTTTGTCAGCTGATACAGTATTGTTCTTGACAGCATTTTCTTCCCTCTGGGACATGATCGTGAATTGCATAAAGTTTTCATATCTCTTCAGTCTTTTTAATCTGCTGGAGATTTTTGTTTTTGTGTTTTAGATAGATAGATAGATAGATTAGATAGATAGATAGATAGATAGATAGATAGATAGATAGATAGTATATATGTAGATATATAGGTATATGTATAGTTTTGTATAGAGAGATATCTGTACATATACATATATTACATGTGTGTATATCTCTATATCTATCTATCTCTCTCTATATAGAGTGAGATTGACATTTTTAATGAATACAGACCCCTTTTTAAAAAACAGCCAGGTGTGATGGCATGTGTCTGTAGTCCCAGCTACTTAGGAGGCTGAGGTAGGAGGATTGCTTGAGCTCAGGAGTTTTGAGGCTGCAGTGAGCTATGATTGTACCACTGTATTCCAGCCTGGGCAACAGAGTGAGACCCCATCTCTAAAAAGAGAAAATTAAAAAAAAAAATAGAATGTTCCTCATTTTGGGTTTGTCTGTATTTTTCTGTTAATTAGATTCAGGTCAATGCATCTTCTCTCAGAGTACTACATAAGTCATATCTCGTGATATGACATTTAAAGGTTTGATTTATTTTTAAGTTTAAAATAAATCTGTCCGTCCATCCACACACCCACCCATTTATCCCACCACCCACTGAATAGGATACGGCACTATGTTCGTTATTTAAAAAAAAAAAAAGGCAAGCAATTTTCTTCCCTAGCCCTACCTTGAAGAGCAAAATTGTTTCCATAAATGTGGATCTTAAATGCAATACATGTTAAATATACTATTTTTTTTAACTTCTAATTTTTTAATTTTAAAGATGTGGGGTATAATCCAGGATTAGGTATACAAATGTTCATTATGCAGGTGCCCTTGTGGATGAGGTGTGTCCCCCCTTCCCCAGGCAGATTCCCACTACTGCCAATTCCACTTCTCTACCCCTCTCCCGGCAGTTTCCTGCTACTGCCAATCCTTTTCTTATAATATTATGATAATTGTTCAAGATCCGCTTATGAGTGAGAACATATGATACTCAGTTCTTTGTTTCTGTGAAAGATCACTCAATATGATAGACTCTAAGTCCATCCAGGTTGCTGAGAAGTTCATGATTTTGTTCTTCTTTATGACTGTGTAATATTCCATCGTGAAATATACTATTTTCTTTTTTTTTGAGTTGGAGTCTCACTCTGTCTCCCAGACTGGAGTGCAGTGGCCACTCCCGGCCACCGCAGCCTCGGCCTGCTGGGCTCCGGCAATCCTTCCTCCTCTGCCTTCCAAGTAGCTGGAATTACATGCATGCGCTACCACGCCCGGCTAATTTTTTGATTTATTGTAGAGATGAGGTCTCACCAAGTTGCCCAGGCGGGTCTCGAACCCGAGGACTCAGGCAATCCACTCACCTCAGCCTCCCAAGGCACGGGATTACAGGCTGAGCCACCGAGCCCGGCCTATTTTCTAACCCCAGAATATAAAGTATAGAAATGAAATTTATGATGTTTTTCCTCACTGTACTTATAATACCCAAATTATTGAAAGACGATTGTTTCATAAAGATGGTAGTTGAGTTTTCCTATCTAAAAATGTTGACTGTTATAAAATCTCATTTAAAAAATTTGATTTCATACAGAATGGGAGAGCAAAAAGCCAAAAGAAAAGACATTCGTACTGGAGAGAGAAGAAAAACCAGAGTTGGAAACTGGAAGGTACCAAATGGGAATGTATCAAGTTCAAAATATTGATACATTGAAAGAAGAGGCAGAAGAAAGACTGAAGAGAGAAATGCTACTTGCTAAACTGAAGGAAATTGACAGAGAACTCCACGATTCTCTGAATCTCAAATGTCCTCCTTTGCCTTTGCTGCCCGATTTGGAATCAAAATTGCTCTCCCCAGAGAGAAGCCCCCAAATGCACCTGTTCCCTGAATGCTCGGAGACATTATTTAATGGGCATCATTTGCAAGACATCAGCTTCTTAACTCCAAAAGGAGCGGGCCCGAATTCTGGAAATGCGAGACGTCCGCCCTCTCCAAGTGAGCTTGCTTTTGGTAGCTATGTGCCTTCGTTTGCCAAAACCTCAGAGAAGTCTAGTCCATTTAGCCAAAAAAGTGGTTTTTTTGATTTCCAAAGAAACAGTATAGAAAAACTCAGTAAAGACAATATAGATTTCATTTCAAGAAAAGAGAAAAAAGCGAATCTGATGGAGCAGCTGTTTGGTGCCAGTGGAAGTGGTGCCATTTCCTCCAAAACTCCTGACCCACGTTTTCTGTCCTCCAGCAGAGGAGACTTTGACCCTCTAAATTTTCTCCCCGGGGATAAAAGCAGTAGGAGCAGAGAACATGATGAAGATGAAGACTTTTTCCTTAGTGAAGGAAGACGTTTTAGTCCAAACAGGCACCGGTTAAAACATGCAAATAGTAAACCGCCAGTAAAAGCAGTTGATTCTGTAGAAGATGAAATTGAAGATGTAGCACTGAGATGACTGCCTAGAGTATATTTTTTTTCCAGTTGTAAATTTTAAGATATTTTAATACTGTATTTATTATAAACATTTAGAGTTTTTAATGTAAAAAATTCTCATGAAGGAATGATTTTTATAGCTAAATACAGTGCAATTAAAAAGAAGTAGAGTGTATACAAACCACATAATTAGTTTGCCAAGAATGAAGGAGGCTTTTTGAATGAAGCCAGAAATAGAGATGTATCTTACTTCATCTTGACTTTTTGCTTATCAATAGGTTTCACCTCTAACCAGCTCTGTGGGAAGTTTTACTTACTAGAGGTTGTATTCATTTCCTGCTTTTATCCCTATTTGATGAAGGGAGAAAGGCACTGCCTCGGAGGTGTAGCTCCCAGGTGGTGAAAAGCCAAAGCTGCTTAGGCCCCACCCTTCATGGAGAGGCTCTACCTGGCAAGGCTGAGTCACTCTTGAAGGGCAGCGGTCGCGGTACTGGGGCGTCCCATCCCTCTGGAAGGACCCGCAGGTAAACACTGTCCATTTCCAAATTTCAAGTTTCTTGAAATCGCTTGCATACAACTCTGTTAGAATGTCATTTTGTGTTCAGAAAACATTTCTCTGTTTGCACAGACATGTCTGTCATGGTTCCAGATGCCTGGGTACGGTGTGATTCCTCTCCTTGTTCTTCTACACTCTTGGTATCTCAGTGGCTGGGTGTAAGATTTCACACCAGATACAAGGAATAGAGGAAAAAACACCAAATACAAGGAATAGAAGAAAGTTTATCCCAATGTAGGAAGGTTTTCCATTATGTTTCCAGAGTAATGTAATTTGGAAATTTTAATTTTTGTACTTGTATAGTTTGAACTTATCCTCAAACCAAGGAGACAGTGATAGTGTAATACTGTTAAACTTTTGGGACTAGTTTTAAAGCAGCTTTGGGCAAACTATTTTAGAGATAGGGCTTCTGCCTTGCTGAGTAGGATGGATGGTTTTCTGTTGAAATGCATTGGCCTTCTTGTAGCTGTTTGTAACTCACTTTAGCTGCAGAGAAGTTGATGACCTTGGATCATGCTGGGTTTGATTTAAGAAGCGTTAATATATCACCAACCTAGGAGAAAACACTGTAAAATGAAGAGTGGTGGAAATAATGTGTTGGGAAGAATGAAATTTTGAGATTGACACTTATTCTAAAGCTGTTTTTTTCAATTATTTACTATGTATTTATTTGTTCCTTGTATGATTTCTGAAGTCAAGCACACATGCTGATGAGGGGAAAGAGTTCTATTTTATCCTGAATTTTTATAAATGCTTATTATTAAATTTCTTTTTATGACTATTTTACACGACTTACCTGGTTAGGTCTCCAATTAAAAGATGTATCATCTCTCATCTTCTAAATGTTTATTGGGAACAGAATCTCTCAGGAGTGCTAAAATATATTTAAACATTTTCTTAATACAGAGATTTTTGTCTGATATAAATAAGCACTTACTATTTTGCACATCCTTCTAATACATGTAAAACAATATTATTTGTAATGCAGTTCTTTATAGAATGTAATATTTTAACATTATTTTAATAATGTTAATTTTGTTTATAGATTTATTAGTTTTTTTGCCTTTTTCTACCTGATGTTCTCTTTAGTCAGATGCAACAAGACAGAATTTTAAAATTTAAACCTAAAGTTAAATTATAAACTTAAAAGCATTATGGTGTTAAGTATTAAAATTGGAAGTTAAAATGTACAGAACACATTTTTCCTTATGAACAAACCTTAGAGAATAAATCATTTTTTTCTAAATGTCAAGTACTCATAACTCTTATAAATAAAAATTTAAAATGCACTATGACTCTTTATTTCAGTGATACTTTAGGTTACGTAGAAAATACGTAGTGGAAACAGAACCTGCAGGGTTAATTTTTATTTCATTATTCCCTTTTTTTCTGTCCAGTATTTTTAGTTGAAGTGGATGAGTTTGCCCTAAATCAGGTTAGACAGTATGCTGGTCTTATCAGATAATTATAGTTTTAATTAATCCTTTCATCCTTAATAGCTATCATAATGGTACATATTGCTTATAATATTTTTTAGAAGGTATGGGTAAAGGAGATTAAATTGAATTATAAAATAAACACAAACTCCTTTCATGGCTGACTCGCTGTTTTTCTGATCATCCTCTTCATCTCGTTTTCAGAGACATTAAGCTTCCGGTGTCCCCAGCTGGTTGTTAGTTGGATAGAGCATGCAAATCTGCCTGATGAGAAGGGAAGGGGAGTATGTATCATTGTGACAATATGGATTTTTTAGGATTGCAGAAGCTACCATCACTAGCCAAGAATCTGCTTTTAAAAGCTTGTCCTCTTCCACACAATGCATGCCCCTCTTATGCTCGAGGCTCCTTACAGATCACTTGAAATGGCTCTCCTTTTATTGAAGCGCATTTTTACAGGATGCCTGCTTGAGTGTTTCGTGGATGCCCTGCACTATGCTGGGCACAGGCAATTGAGGACAGTGAACCAAACAGGCTTTTGCTCTCCCGGGGTAGAATGGGACAGAATGGGAGCCTGACCCGGAGGTCCCACACTTGGCCTCCCAGAATCTCTGTGCGTCCTGGGACCGCAGCTTCCTCAGTCTTGTGGGTCTTTCAGGATGCTTCGTTATGGTGTTTGTGAGTAAATGAAATCCTTAGGTTGATGCTTGGCAGGGTGCCTGGCATACTGTGAGCACTCAGTACACATTAGCTGTTATTATCATGGCTAATTGCGAGTTTCTTTTAGGGCAAAAATTGAACAAATAGAGCATAGGTGTGTATGTGTAATACATTGATTGATGGCATGCTTTGCACAAGACAATAGGCAGAAAAAGCTTTTAAATTTCCAAATTAGCATAAAACCTCTGTACTAGAGGCATTATGCCTCTTAGATCTGTACTTTGAACTTTCCTTTATTCGGTATTACATGTACAACAAACTTGAGGAGTTGAACAACTTAAACTTTGGAAGGAGTTTCTGAAGACAGGTTCAGTAACATAAGAAGGAAGTGAGGGTTAACCACTGTTAGTTCAGACTCTTGGGTGTTAGTTCAGACTCTTGGTAGGACCTCCCAGATGTTAGGTCAGGCCAGGCATCTGCGATGTGGTCCCGCATGAAAGATGCAAAGAATTGCACAGAAGTTAGAATGGAAAAGGTAATTAATTTAGAAAGTAAACTGGAGGGAGAGGAAACTCACCTCCCCAAGATAGGGGAGGGGGCCAAAGCTTAGGGAAAAGCATGGTGGCCATAGCTCAGAGAGTCATATGGCCAGACCATACCTTAGCAAAAGCAAAGGTTGCTATGATGACTCAGTAAACACATGGCCTGGCCAGAGCTTGAAGAAAAGTAATGGCTGCTAAGCAAAGGCCAATGGCTGTGCGAGGTTGAACGCTTTTAATCCTTCCCTTTGATGGGGACAGATGGTTAAGGTGATTGCATGGTGGTCTGTTTCATATCATCACGAGGCGGACAGGTCAGCACAGGTACTGACTTCGTGTCATGGACCGCAGGCAGATGGGAGAGCCAACCACGTGACTGTAGCCATGGTGATGGGTCTGTGTCATGAAGGTCACAGAGGGCTGAAGCAAATACTTGGAATAGAAAAGCTAATTAATACAAAACAAGCCACAAGCGGGGGAGGGAGCTGTAAAACAATTGTCAGTCACTACCTCTGAGAAACCGCTTCTGTCCTTGGCTAATGATTAGAGGGTACATTAAGGTGAATTGCTAGAAAAACATAGCAAAGCTAAGCAGTGTTAAAACGGCTATTCTTTGGCACTACTGAATCTATTTTGGCCTTCCGGCTGCCTTGAGGCAAAGAGAGAATGAAATCTGGAAAACACAACTTTTTGGGGTTGCATAATTTGATAACTCATACCTCAGCTCTCCCGTGGCGTTTGCATGTGTCTTTAGATAAGTTATAAAACTTTTCTGCGCCTTCTTTTCCTTCTCTGTAAGACAAGAGGCTAATTAGAGTACTTACCTCATGGCAGGCTGATTTAATTAATACCTGAAAAACTGCTTAGAACCGGAAGCACTCAAATGCTAGCTGCTATTGTTGTTTTGAAAAGACAGTCAAGGAGAAGGGAAAGCATTTTGTTGTTGAATGCCAGTTGGTGTTTTTATGTGCTATATTCCTCATGAAGCTTTCTCCAGGTAGATACTTGATGATTATTCTCTTTTTACAGTTGAAACTAACAGACTGTTAAGTGATAGATTACATATGAGGTCACACAGATAGTAGTTTGCAGTCAATAGCCACAAAAAGACTAAAGAAATACAGCATTTTAAAAATAGCCTTGTGTGAGTACTCTTTAAGGGGTGACAGAAATCCAAATCAAACGAGCATAAGTAAAATAAGGAAATTGCTTTCTTCTCAAAAGTCTGGAAGGCTTCAAGCGTGGTTGGATCTGTGGGTTCAAATAGTTGTGCGTGCTTCGTCCACCTTCAGCCTTGCTGGGTCTTATCTTTAGATACACTTTACACTTGGCAATAATATTGCAATCGAAGGCCTCAAACCCATGGCATCCTTTTAGCTGGCATGTGCCGCCTCGCCCCATAACGGAGCAGGTCTAGGTCTGGCAGAAGTCTGCTTGGCCCCGTTGATGCCCTGTGCCCACCTTTAGGGCTGGTGGCCTTGTGCAGGGGAAGGATGGATTCCCTACTCTCACCCCCTTTGTGGAATGAGCAGGCTTTCTGTGGAATGGGGGAGGCACGGTTCCCTGATGAAGGCATTTGGGACATACAAAAAATATATAGTTTATATTTTTCAGTGGAAAATGTTAAACTAACCGAATCATGTGGAATACTCATTAAAAGGCTTTTAGTGGATAAATATTAGTTACTTATTCAACACTCCTTATTTCCAGAAACAAGGCATTTCTGTAATAAGATAGGGGTTTTATTCTGAAGTCATTACTTATTAAAGAGTGAACCATTTTAGCCGTAGGTAAGATGGATAGGTAAGGCATTTATGTTATAGAATATATAGAAAATGGAGACCCCCCCAAACATATTTTGTCATACTAAATGCTACATTTGTGAAATACATGTCCA